GGAGTTCGAACCAGCCTGAGCAAGAGCGAGACCCCGTCTCTACTATTAAATAGAAAGAAATTAATTGGCCAACTAATATATATATAGAAAAAATTAGCCGGGCGTGGTGCCGCATGCCTGTAGTCCCAGCTACTCAGGAGGCTGAGGCAGTGGGATTGCTTAAGCCCAGGAGTTTGAGGTTGCTGTGAGCTAGGCTGACGCCACGGCACTCACTCTAGCCTGGGCAACAAAGGTGAGGATCTCTGTCCCAAAAAAAAAAAAAAAAAAAAAGCCTAACATAAACTGTGTTCAGGACTGAAGGACCAATAAAATGAAATTAGTGATCAATTTAAACATTTTTTTTCTACTCACTATTACGAACCAGTATCTAGACCATTGCTTGGCCCCATAGTATGTGCTCAATAAATATTTGCTGACTTATAAAACTTTAAGTGGAAAATAGCTATTTGGAAGAAAATGTTTAAACAAGACCCAAACTATTCTCCATAAAGGCTAATTACAATCCTTAATTACACTGACTTTTAAATATAATTGATCTAACTAGGAAGAGAAGAAAACTTTTATAACTTGGAATGACTATGGATTTTTCCAAATTTTCAAAGTTTTCTAAAATAAAATGTCTTTCAGAAATAACCTTTATCATTTACATGTTAATAAATACAACTCTTTCATTTGAACTTAATGATTTATTATGCTTTCCTATTAAGAAAACTCATTGTTCCATTTCTTTCTTTTTAAAAAATTAGGTAATAATTTACATACAATAAAATGAACAGATCTTAAGTACCTAGTTCTGAGTTGTGAACTAGGTACTAGTAGCTTAGGTAGCCTCCATTGAAAAGGTTTAAAAATATATTCATAAAAATAGTATTCTCCTTATCTTTTCTACTCTATTCTCCCACCACTGATTTCTTTTTTCTTTTTAGAGACAGGGTCTGGCTCTGTAATCTTGAACTCCTTGGCTCAAATGATCCTTCCACTTCAGCCTCCCAACTAGCTAGGATTACAGGCGCATACCACCATAACCCACTAAATTTTCAAAATTTTTTGGTAGAGCCGGGGTCTGGCTCTTGCCCAGGATTGTCTCAAATTCCTGGCCTCAAGAAATCCTCCCAAAGAGCTGGGATTACAGGTGTAAGCCACCCCACTTGGCTCCACCACTGATTTCTTTAACCAAAGTTTTCACTCAACATAAAGTTTTTGAGACTTATCTAGTGAATCAGTAATCCATTCCTTTCCATTGCTGACCAGTATTCTACTCTATGAATAGACCATAATTTGTTTATCTAGTCTCCTTAGGTAGGCACTTGGGGACTTCCAGTTTGGGGGCTATTATAAAGAATGCTTGCACAAGGCTTTTTGTGGATATGTTTTCGACTTTGTTCCACTTTTAAATTCTGAGTTCAAAATTGGCCCCTTTTGGATAAATATTAATAAAACTAATGCCCTTACAGCTGCCAGCTCTGGCATGCTTGTGTTACTCTAGGAAATACATTATTAATCTCAGACATTGCTTTGTTTTTAAGAGTAACATCTTTACGTTTCAAAGAAGTAAACTAATTTAAGTCGGCAAAATTTCATAGCTAGCTAGTAAACTGGAAATAAACCGTCTTCTGACTTTTGAATGGGAAAATTTTTGCTATTTTAAAAGTCTACACAATGATAGGGAACGCTTTTTTAAAGGTCAAAGTATCAAAATATACTACACAGTCACCCCTCTGTAGGGGGATTGATTCTAGGACCTCCACAGATATCAAAATCTGAGTATGGGCCTGGCGCTGTGGCTCACGCCTGTAATCCTAGCTCTTGGGAGGCCGAGGCGGGTGGATTGCTCAAGGTCAGGAGTTCAAAACCAGCCTGAGCAAGAGCGAGACCCCGTCTCTACTATAAATAGAAAGAAATTAATTGGCCAACTGATATATATATAAAAAATTAGCCGGGCATAGTGGCGCATGCCTGTAGTCCCAGCTACTCGGGAGGCTGAGGCAGAAGGATCACTGCAGCCCAGGAGTTTGAGGTTGCTGTGAGCTAGGCTGACGCCACGGCACTCACTCTAGCCTGGACAACAAAGCGAGACTCTGTCTCAAAAAAAAAAAAAAAAAAAAAAAAAAAATCTGAGTATGCTCAAGTCCTTGATATAAAATAGCATAGTATGTGTAAATAACCTATGAGCATCCTACCATATACTTTAAATCATCTCTAATTGCTCACAGTACCTAATACAATGTAAATGCTACACAGCTGTTATATTGCTTAGAGAAAAATAAGAAAAAAAATATGCACATGTTCAATACAGATGCAATCATCCTAGGCCTAACTACATTTTTCATCTGTGGTGGGCTGAATCCATAGATACAGAGGGCCAACTATGTAGGACAGAACACCAATTTATTTTGAAAGCTTCAATCTAGAAAATGTGACATGAACAAAGATAGATAGGTTTTTCTCACAGATAAGAACTGTCTATATTTAACTAGCATATGGCAATTAAGAACCTCCATGTGTTTTCTAAGAGTGCAGAGTCATCATGAGAAAGTCAATTGCTTTAAAAAAACACCCAGATCTAAATAGGGAAGGAAATACAGGCAACAATAATGTGAACTATCATTTTTTGCTCTCATTTTCATAGAGGAAAATGGAAATATTTTCTGGTCTCCTAAATATTTTAAACAATTAATTGCTGAAAGGTTATCCTCCAGGTTTTTATTTCAACAAAAGTCTACTTTATGGATTCTACAAGTAGCTCATTCAAGAAAGCCAAATGTCATTAACTATTACAATCTTTTCTGAAGGGGGGACTGAGTGGAAAATGGCCACTGAAGTTTTTCTTCCATAGTACTCCAAAACGGACCCTGCAACTGTTTTATCCAATTCAAAACAGACCACCTCACTTTTTTCATGAAGTAGTTATTACAAATATGTTCATATTTCCTGAACAAATAAGCAAACAATAAAAACTAAATTGCAGACACACAGTAATGGGACTTAAGTTAAATAGGTGCTATTAAGATACTGAGAGTTGCCATTATTTCTGAGAATCAGTCCTCGTGTTAAATATTTAACAACTTTAAAGAGGAAGTTACTAAATATTATTGATTTTAATAGGAAAAGGACTTTGTTAAGTTTCTTTAATGCCTTTAACAGGAATTAAATATGTGTTGACAGTAAGGATCTTCAAGAAAAGAAAACATACTTCTACAATCTTCTAGCCACTAAATCCAGTATCTTACTTCCTAATCTTCTTCAATTATACTCTATCTACAGAAAATTCAAACTAATATAAGTGCAGTCATCATCAGAATCAACACAAGTAATTCAGGTTTTCCTTTCTTAACTTTTATATTAAAAACTCAACAGTTAACTTATGCAAATCATTAAGAAGGTAAATTGCCAAAAGAGAACAAATGTCACAAAATGATCATACCCCTTTGACCTAGTAGTACCAATGTAGTGAACACATTCAACAGTATAGTTCAAAGGGGGGAAAAAATGACAACTGCTAAATGGCTACTTAGCACTGAACTATTACATTATGAATAAAAAAGAAACATTCCAAATTTCCAGCTGCAAGGGAGTAGTTAGAACTATTGTAATGTTAAAACTAAAATAAGATTATATGGTTGTTAGACCAAATGAGGATTACATTAAAATGCGTAAAGTACTCAAGTAAAACAAATGATAAAAGGGGAAAAGTCAAAATTTTACATCATTGTGGGAGGCCCAGGCATGTAGGCTTACACTTGGAATCCTAACACTCTCGGACTCCCAAACAGGAGAATGGCGTGAAGAGAGACCAGCCTGAGCAAGAGTGAGACCCCCTCTCTACTAAAATAGAAAAATTAGCATGGCGTGGTGATGTGCACTTGTAGTTCCAGCTACTCCGGAGGCTGAGGCAGAAGGATAGCTTGAGCTTAGGAGTCTGAGGTTGCTGGGAGCTATGACGACGCCACTGTACTCTAGCCCAGGCAAGACATTGTCTCAATTAAAAAAATAAAATTTTACATAATTGCTGCAATCCATTTCCAAATAACCTTCACTTATTTGGCACTAATTCTTTTGGTCTACAGAGAACAAATAAATCTTTTATTTTTCTCCTACCAGACAGCCTTCCAACGGCTAGATCTTAGGTCAGCTACTATAGATCTCCAGCAGGCTCCAGCCTAAGCAACCCTACTTACCTCAATTCAAGTTTGCATTCCCTGATACCTAAGACGTAGGAGCTCAATATTTGCTGGTGTACGAGTCTCTGAGTCTGGTCTAGAACTATCCCCTACAATGAAAGGCTCAAAACCCAACAAAAATCTTCCTAGTGTTGACTGCATTCTGGAGATTTTCATCCTTTAGATGTGAGATCCTGAGGTGTGGGTTATTTTATGTAAAGAAGGAAACTTAAATACAGAATGTTACGTATGTTCTTTAAATTTCATCTTTTAACATTCGACCCAGCCTATGAACACTTTCTGGCTAACATATCTTTCCTCCAACTAAAGCTGCCTCAGCTGCCCCCAGGACCGGGGTAACAGAGGTGACCTCAACTGCCCCCATGATGGGCCAACTCTGGCCTGTAGGAGAGGAGGCTATTTCCTAATTTCGTTACTAAGTACAACAGCCACACACGTTGCTATGTGTGCGCCCGCACTTCTCCGCCACACGCCCAGCCCCCGCACGCTGCGGCGAAACCCAGCCGAGAACGAGGCCGGCCCGCAGACAGCCACGGCTTGTCCCGCTCTGAGGTACACACGCAGGCTGCAGAGGGAGGCGAGCAGGACGGCAGGCCAGAGAGACCGGCGGGCGCCCACCCGGCACGTTCTCTGCGAAAGCGCGGTCTCTCGCCACGCACGGGCAGCGGAGGCCGCCACCACGTCAGGACTGGCCGCCCGTCACGGGAGCGGGTCGCCACCGCGCCCGCGCGCCAGCCCCGCGCTCGGCCGCGGTCACGTGCCGCCCGCCCGCGCCCGGCGGGGAGCGCGCCCGCACGGGCCGGTCGCCGCGGGGCTCACCTGTGAGTCTGGCAAAGCCGGAAATGCTCTCGGGCACCGGGAGCCGCTTGAGGTACGCGGGAAGCTGCACCTTCACGATGCGGGCCACGCTCTCCAGCACCATCCTGGCCGGCGTCGCCGCGGCTCTCCGGGCCCCCCGCGGCCGGGCCGCCGCGCTACGCGCCTGCGCCGAGCGCGCGCTCGCCGCGGCCGGCGGGGCGGCGGCGGGCCGGGGGGGCGGCGGGGGCCCGAGGAGAGGCGATCTGCCGGGCGCCGATTGGCTGCCAGCGCGTGACGCGCACTCCGGCGGGCGCCGATTGGCGGCGAGCGCGTAACGCGCGCTCCGGCGGGCGCCGGCCAGCGGGCTCGCGGCTGACTAGGCCCTCTTCAGAGTCTCAGAGGCGGAGGTGGCCCTCCCGTAGAGGCCGGAGGCCAGCAGTCAGGGTGCTACGGCGACGAGATAAAGCTCGTGAGCGCGCCTCCTACCGGCAGCGCCGTGCTCGGCCGTCTCCGCTGCCTCCCCTCTGGCTCTCCGGTTGCACACTTGCCGAGGAGCAGCCCCGCGCCTCACAGGCCAGGGTTTTGAAAAAAGGAAAGAAATGTGTCATAAAACTCTATGTAAACCAGGAACTGCTTACAGCTCTGCCGCTCGCAACTTAATGCAGTCCTTGCTCCAAGGTCCAGAGGTTTCTGCCACTCACACAAGACGGTAGTAGTCCGTCCTTAGATATTTTTAGTGCTTTCCAAAGGTCGTTTCTTTCTTCGGTTAAAACCCTTTGAGAAAGTGGTAAAAAATAAAACATAAAATTTTAGCAGGGATTCTGCTAAAATCTCAAGTATTCTTGAAGATTTTTAAATTTTACTTACTTTTATTAAATCTAAAGAAAATTTAAAGGGTGAAAGTGTTAGGGCTTAGGGCCCATAGATAGCCAATAACCAGCCATTAGCTTCTGTATTATGCTTGCTTGCTTGCTTGCTTGCTTAGGAGAGTGGGAAATTTTCAGTTGACCCTTATCTGACTCCACACCCGCCATCCCAATTCTGCTAGTGTGATTAAGTTTAGAAACTAAGGAGAAGGGCAGCGGTACGTGGCACAACTGCCCCACCAAAAAATATAGCCTCTAGGCCAGGGTCAAAGCGCCCTGGACCCTTGAGGCACCTGACATGCTTCCTGTACCCAGTGGAATGCGTTCTGGCTTAGATCACAGGATGCAGGATGCACCTCACCTAAGATTGATGTGGTCCATAAATTAGGATACTTCAGGGTCGTCCTCTGGGCTGAATCTTAACTACAGCCGGTGACTCCTACAAAACCCATCTCAAGGCTCCAACCTCCCATTGTGCTAAGACAAGATAAAAATGTAAGATTAATGCTTTCTCTTGCTGCTTCTGTAAAAGTGCTTGCTAATTAGCTTTTTAGAGTGTGTTTTTTTGCCTTTAAAAAGGGGCCGTTTTCCACTCTCATCACTACTTTTCTGTGCCTGCCACTCTGCAGGACAGGAGTAGTCCTGGCCAGTAAATAAAGACTCACAATTTGGGCCAATTCGGTTTCTAAGGTGGTCTTTTCTCGCACTTGGGACTATAACAAAAGGAGATAGTTTCAGTGCCTTGAAACTTTCTTGCCTTGACTTTGTTTCATTGTTTGGCCGAAGTGAAAATATCAAACCAGCACTTGATAACACTCCTCATTATTTACAGTTCTCTGCTTGACCAACAACATATAATAACAAACTGTGCATGGTCCAATATTTCATTTTGTATGACTTAACCTTGTAACAGCCAGTTATAACAAATAATGGTTTATTTTTCCCTTGGTGTTTTTAAAGTGAGAAATGGAATTTTTTAAAGCAAACTTTCATTATCTGAACTGTATAAATTTAATGTTTGAGATTATCTTTCACTGAGAAAAATCACCACCACCAGTAAGAAGGGAAGATGGACCCTGGAGCTTGTTTATCCTGAAAATGAGGAAACTCAAACATTCTTGTCCTCTGGACTATTCTGTTGGCTGTTATCTTTAATTTTTGCTGATCAAGCATAGAGGCACCCTTGGAGAGATGGTTGAGATAGACGTAAGTTAGAAGTGGGGTGCATTAGGGGAAAAAAAAGCTTGGAAAAGGCCATTAGCTATTTGTATCTTCTCTTAATTAGAGGCCCATCTTGACAAGGGCAAAATGTGCTGCATTGAGTGATATTCTTAAGGCCTCTAAGCAGGATATCTTTAAGGAATTAAAAAATATATGCCTTAATACAGTAAAATGCTCAAGTATAAAATGTATAATTCCGTGTGACCGCCATCTACATCAATATGGAGAATATGTTCAATACCCCAGAGGGCATGTTTGTGCCCCTTCTAACTATGTCTAACTACCACCACCACTATTTTGTTTATATAAAAGGAATTATACAATATATAGTTTTTGTGCCAGGCTGCCTTCCTCTTAGAACTTTATGTTGATAGCTGGTTTATATATTTTCAAGTTGAAGAAATGTAGTGAAGTTAAATCTATAAGGATAAAACTTTTTTTTGGAGAGAGGTGCTTAAAATTTAAAGAAGAGGTATTAGCTGTTCTGATGCATTACATGAGCTATGTCAATGTATAAAAGTAAATAGTTCCTAACTCTCCAATAAAAAAAAATCCTTATTGTGCATTTATAAGGGATTCCTTTTACATAGATTCCCTTTACTTTAAATCCTTTTGTTTATATTTTTAAATTTGTATTTCATTTCCTCAACCCTGCTTTCTTCACAGTACATGAAACAGATGGTATGAAGATTATATATATTTTGTTTGTTTGTTTTTTGTGCTTTTTGACACATGGTCTTGCTCTGTTGCCCAGGCTAGAGAGTGCAGTGGCACCATAGCTCACTTCAACCTCAAACTCCTGGGCTCAAGCAATTCCCCTGCCTCAGCTGCTGGAGTGGCTGGAAATACAGGTGTGTACCACCACGCCAGGCTAGTTTAAAAAAAAAAAATTATTTTTTGAGACAGAGTCTCACTTTGTTACCCAAGCTAGAGTGAGTGCCGTGGCATCAGCCTAGCTCACAGCAACCTCAAACTCCTGGGCTCAAGCAATCCTGCTGCCTCAGCCTCCCGAGTAGCTGGGACTACAGGCATGTGGCACCATGCCCGGCTAATTTTTTCTATATATATTAGTTGGCCAATTAATTTCTTTCTATTTATAGCAGAGATGGGGTCCCGTTCTTGCTCAGGCTGGTTTCGAACCCCTGACCTGGAGCAATCCGCGCCCGCCTTGGCCTCCCAGAGTGTTAGGATTACAGGCGTGAGCCACCTTGCCCAGCCTAAAAAATTTTTTGTAGAGACAGGGTCTTGCTATGTTGCTTAGGCTGGTCTCAAACTGCTGGCTTCAAGCTATCCTCCTACCTTGGCTTTCCAAAGTGCTAGGATTACAGGTATAAGCCACCGTGCCCAGCCTGAAGAAAATATTGTTCTAAATGGAAATGGCAGGCTTATCTGACCACCTTAAGATACAGTGTTCAACAAATTCTGGTTTTATTAGCATGTATTTCTTCTTTTTTGACTCCATCTTTAAAAGATATAAAGAGGCTTTTCGTGCAGTGGCTCATACCTGTAATCCCAGCACTTGGGAAGGCTGAGGCAGAAGGATCTCTTGAGCCCAGGAGATCAAATTTATAGTGAACTATGATTAAGCCTATAGTGAACTATGATCAGCCTAAGTGACAGAGGCCATAAAAAAAAATACATAAAGAAACTTCCTGGTCAGAAAAGTCAAGGTGAAATAATCACCATGCAAATACAGTTAAAGGATTGTTTATTTACTTTCAAGCACTTGAGTAAGGATCACTAATCCTCTACCTGTGTAGGCCTTGTGTCCTAGCTAGGCCCAAGTCTCTCATTTCTTTACATGCTTTCTTCCCGTTAGCTCATCTAGTCCCAAGAATTCAAATAAGATCAATAATTTGATAAAGCCCAAATCTCTATTTCCAGCCCATACTTCTTTAGTACTGCTAATCCAAAATTCTGACTGGCATCTCTTGACATCTTGGCCGATTTTGCTGTTGCTTTGTTCATCTTTTTCACTGATTTATGTGTTCTGTACCTTGTTGGTTATTTTGGTTGCCTGTCTTCTCTTAGTTTATGTCTTTTCTTTTACCTTTGTTTATTGTATCCTTTCTTATACCAAAATTTAGTTTGAATGTAGTTAAATTTATTTATCTTTTCCTTTATAATTTGTTCTGGGAGTCTTGTTTAAGGAATCCTTTCCTACCCCTAAATCACAAAGATATTCATCTTATTTTTTTACTGAAAGTCTTAAACTTTTATCCTTTATATTGAATTAATCAACATAGTATTTTATCAACATAGTATTTTGATCAACATAGTATTTATTTTTCATGCATGAAATCCAGATTGTTTTATTTTTTATTTCATATGCAAATAACGAATTGTTCTAGCACGATTTATTGAGTAGTTTAACTCTTTTTTGTTGTTTGTAATGTCACCTATCTCAAATCAGGTTTCCATACACCTATGGGTTGCTTATTCTCTTCCCTTGCTGAGTTTGTATAACCTCTATGACCATACCACACTCTCATAATTGCTACAGCTTTATAGTAAGTGTTAATATCCAGCAGAATAAGCCTCCCTATCTATTCTTTAAAATTGCCTTGAGAATGCCTGGCCCTTTACTCCTCTATATGAATTTCAGAGTCATCTTGTCAAACTGAACAGAAAATCAAGATTTTTATTGAACATTCATTATGGCCTCAGTTTTCTCCTCTGTGATATGGTGATACTAATGATTATTATGACTAGGTATTCAATGGATGTGCTCAATGGATGGTTCTGATGTATTCAGTGGATGGTTATCATCGTCATCATCATCAACGAATGAACCTTTACTCTGGCTTTGATATCTTAAATTCAGAAGTTGTACCTCTAACCACAACATCAACTTCATATTCTTGTACATTTCCCACCATCTTAATTCCACTATACTTACTATTTGACTTCATCAAATATTTAGTGTTGAAACCATCTCTATTTTTTCTACCCTGTCAGCCCATTCTTGGATTTATATTTTTTCCCATTTCTCACAAAAGTTGCTCCAGATCTTCACTATTCTACATTAATTAGTAATTAAGCCTCTTATTAACACTACCCAGCTTATTCTGAGCTCAGATGACCTTGATTTTTAGTTACCAGAGA